TCTCAATCTGTTTATTATTAATATTAAGCCCTACACCCACAGCAAGCCACAGCCAAGGATTAATTATTTAAACTGACAAGATGACAGAAGCAGGAATTTGGAGGTTACTCTGTTCAGACAAGCCAAATGAAATCATCCCTCTTTCCCTCCCTCAGGCCCCAGTTTCATCACCCCATCAGATTTTTTTACTAACAGTTTTAACCCAAAATGTCCTGGTTCATTTATTTATTTATTTGCTTGCAATTGTTTCCCCCATGAACTCACAAGCTTGTGAGTTGCATCTTTATCTGCCTTGTTCCTGCTGCACCTCCACTGCCTAGAAATTTGCAGGCCTCAATAATGTTTATGGAAAGAACAGGGAACGAGGAAATGAAAGATTGAAGGAAAAAAATATACAGCCTAAAGGTTAAGAGCATTGGTTCTTGGCTGGGCGCAGTGGCTCACACTTATAATCCTGGCACTCTGGGAGGCTGAGGCGGGAGGATCGCTTGAGGTCAGGAGTTTGAGACCAGCCTAACCAAGAGCAAGACTCTGTGCTAAAAATAGAAAAATTAGCTGGGTGTGGGGGCTACACCTGTAGTCCCAGCTACTCGGGAGGCTGAGACAGGAAGATCACTTGAGTCCAGGAGTTGGAGGTTGCGGTGAGCTATGATGATGCCACTGCACTCTACCCAGGGCGACAGAGCGAGACTCTGTCTCAAAAAAAAAAAGCATAGGTTCTAGAGCCAAGGTCAAGAAACTTCAGCCTTTGAGCCAGATTTGGCCCAGTTTGGCCCACAAACTAAAGATTTTTCTTTTGTTTGTTTTTGTTTTAAGGAAAAAGTCAGAAGAGGAATAATATTTCCTGACATGTGCAAGTGATTTGAAATTCACATTTCAGTATCCGTAAATGAAGTTTTATTGGCACACAACATGCTTGTTCATTTTCCTATTGCCTATGGTGGCTTTCCAGCTTCTATGACAGAGTTGAGTAGTTGCGACAAAAGACTGGCTAGCCACGTAGTGTTGGGAGCCACCACGCCTATAATCCCAGCACTCTGGAAGGCCGAGACGGGAGGATCATTTGAGCCCAGGAGTTAGAGACCAGCCTGGACAACATAGTGAGACCCCATCGCTACAAAAAAAGTATTTTAATTAGCTGGGCATGGTGGTGGTGCATGCCTGTAGACCCAGTTACTTGAGAGGCTGAGGCAGGAGGATCACTTGAGCCCAAGAGTTGGAGGCTGCAGTGAGCTATGATGACACCACTGCACTCCAACCTGGGTGAAAGAACCAGACCCCATTTCTAAAAAAGTAATAATGAAAATTTAAAATTTTTTAAAAATAAACAAAAAGAGACGAGCTAGCCCACAAAGCCCAAGCTATTTACTGTCTGGTCCTTTTTGGAAAAAAAAGTTTGCTGCTTCTACGCTAGAGTCTTGAATTCCAGCTCTTCAGACTGCTTGCTGTATAATCCTGGGTAAGCTGCTTCACCTCTCTAATTCAACTCACCTTTCACATGTGTTAAATAGGAATAATAGTAGATCCCAAAGAGTGGTGGAGAGCTTGCTGTGAGCGCAATGCCAAGCACATAGTAAATGCTCAATAAACTGACCTATTGTTACTGTGATCACTGAACCCTCTCCACAGCTGTGGTATGTCATCATCCCTAATATGTGGGCACAGAAACTAAGACTCCAGAAGATAAAGTCCTTTGGCCAAGGTCTCATAGTGACTGCTCTGAACTCCCCTCTAGGCTGGGGGGCTCGGCAGAGTCCTGTATGTGCCCACCGGGGAGGGGAAAGAAAGCCTCCCAGCCTGGGAAAGGCTCAGGCCGCAGCCAGGGAGGACCATGACGCGCTGTGGTTGGGACATCTGAGCCAGGCGGCCCCGCCCACTGTGGAGCACTCAGCGTCACCGTCAACCTCTTAGCACCTCACGTTCAGTGGAGTCGCACCTCTGTGCTCAGCAGTCGCTCCAAAGCCAGCGTGGGCCCTAGTGTTCCTCACCTTCAGGGGAAAGGGTTTGCTATCACCAGAGCCAAGGGAGGGATTGGGCAGGAAGTGGTTGGTGAGGACAGCAGCCCAGTCTCTATCTGGGGAGCCCCTCTTCTGCCTCTGAGATCAAG